ATCTTTGAGACCTTCGCCAAGCTTGTCACGGTGAGGGGGTCCCATGGTGGGGCAGGGGCAGGGGGGGGTCTGTGGGTTGTGGTCCATGGAAATGGTGAAGGATGGAAGGGAGGGATGGAGCCCAGCTCCCAGGCTCTGCTCCCCCTTCCTCAGGGTTTCCTGACTCCTGTTTCTATCCACTGGGGGACCTGGGGACAGGGGGGTGAAGCCCAGGCAGATGTCCCACCTGGGCTGCAGCAGACGTGGTCTTTGCCCAGGAACTGCCCAGGGAGCCCTGATTTCTCCCTTCACCCCCTGGCTCAGCCCCTTCTTGTGTGGCTGGTAGCCATGGGACAGTGTCACCCCATGCACTGGGTACCCACAGGGACATTTCTGGGGCTGGAGGGGTGATAAGCAGGCCACATGCCCCATCACACCTCAGACCCCCACCACACTGAGGTGCCCCCATGCACCTCTGCACAGCCCCAAACACCCTGGGTGACTCCTGGTCCCCAGCAAAGCCACCACTCTCCTCCATTCCCTGTCACATCCCCAACCCCTGCTCCAGCCCTGTTTCCAAGCAAGCGTGGAAGAAACCATCCCACTCCCCCACCCTTGTCCTCCCTGACCCTGTCCCTGTCCCTCCCCAGATCTTCAGCCAGCACCCCCTGAAGCAGCAGTATGAAGGGCCAAACTTGGACCCCAAGGTGCCGAAGCCCAACACGGCGCTGCTGTCCCTTGTCCTCATGGCTGGCACCTTCTTCCTGGCCTTCTTCCTCCGCAAGTTCAAGAACAGTGCCTACCTGCCTGGCAAGGTGAGGATGTAGGGGTCAGGGTGGCATGTGTCCCCCCACCCCATTGAACCATGGATGGGGGCAAAACAGGGGCTTGGTTTCCCAAAAGGGGTTGGCTGAGACCATGCAAAACTCATCGCGTGCTCCTCTGGAGGTCTTTGATGCCACTGGGGACACAGATGGGGGGGAGTGGGGGAACAGCCTTGGTGGAGGAGACACAACACACAGATGGGTTCAGTGTGGTCATGGTGTCCCCACAGGTGCGACGCTTGATCGGGGACTTTGGGGTGCCCATCTCCATCTTCATCATGGCGCTGGTGGACTTCCTCATCAAGGACACGTACACACAGGTCTGGGAGCAGAGGGAAGGCAGGGCTGGGGGAGGGTGACAGGTGTCCCCAGCAAGGGGACACGGAGCTGAGTGCTCATTCCTGTGTCCTGTCCCTGTCCCCTTGCTCCACCTTTGCTCCCATACAGAAACTGAATGTCCCCAAAGGGCTGGAGGTCACCAACGCATCAGCCCGGGGCTGGTTCATCAAACCCACGGGGGAGAAAACCACCTTCCCCATCTGGATGATGTTTGCCTCCGTGGTGCCCGCCCTCCTGGTCTTCATCCTCATCTTCCTCGAGACACAGATCACCACGTGAGGCCCGGGAAGAAGGGGCAGAGGGAGGGAAGGGAGGGCTGTGGGGAGGGGGTGCCTGGCAGGGCAGGGATGGAAGGGACCTCCCACCGCCGCCTCATCCCCTTCTGTCCCCA